AAAAAAACAACAAAAATACACTTTATCTCGCCTATTTTAATTGAAACAATAATATATTTTTGCAAAAAATAAAAAGAAAGAAAAGATATGAATCAAATAAATATTCCAATTAAACGATATTACATTCATTAAAATCTATTACAAATATTATTGAAATGATTTTGGGAATATACAAAAAGAAGAATCAAAAAAGAAAAAGAACAAATTTTTCTACTCCAAAAAATACATAAGTCAATGCCTGTAGTCAATAATACTGTTTAAAAGGAAAAACAAAAAAGAAAAGATTAAAAAATAAAAACAAGCTACAGCTGTGAATAAATAAATTCTAATAGTAATCTACTAGATCTCTAGCTTACATAAGTCGAATATAATCAATTTTGGACAGGACAATGCACTCAAACTATTGTAGATGAACTTATAATTTAGTTAGATTACTTTTACGATTCTTTTTGTATCTATTTTTTTTTTTGAAAATATTATACCTTTTTAGAAAATATGTAACTGTCGCGTTATTTTTACACATTTATTCTTGTGTTATCGTATTAGATGATAATTAATCACGAGCACGTATAACTTTATGTAAGTGTTATGAAAAAAAGGAAATTAGTTTAAAGAATGTGAAGAAAAAAATGGTGCGCACAAAAGTACAGGTATTTCTATTAAGAAGAGAATTCTTCTTTTCAATGAATATACGATTATTAAAATGCGTAATTACTCCTGTGAAGTCAATGTTAAATAGAATTACATATATACATATATATACATATATATATATATATTATATTTAATTATATTTTAATCGCGTAGAATTGAAACGTGTAAATAAGATACAATCTATATACTAGTAATTTACCTTCAACCCTTTCGTTAAATATTATCTTTCTGTATAAATTCCCTCGTACATGCGTATTGTTGCATGGTATATGACTCCTATATGGGTCGGTGGGTCGTTCATATGGGGCCTTTATATTGACAACCCGTATATGGGTCGATAGTAACGAAAGGATTAATATAAGATTATTAATATTTTTTGGAGTAGGATTATTTTAATGCTTTTTAAAATTGTATTGCGTTTTTCAAAAAAGACACATCTTATCTAACTTATTATATCATTGATAGATAAATATTTGTATTTGTGTAAAATTATAAGGTATATATATATATATATTTACTTAAAAAAAAAACAAACAATTATTCAAACAAACAAGAGATGATTGCAAAACTTGGTCTATGCTCTGACGTGTGATAATTATAATTAAATAATAACGATGAGCTATATTTATTTTTTAAAAGATACTTTGAAAAATTGTACGGAAATCATGTTTTAATTTGAGAAAAAAATGTTTAAGTAAATATATATTGAATTTAATTTAAGATGTACCTCACAAGTTAACAATACCTATTAAATAATAATCAATGTTAAGTATCTTATTAATATAATAATTAAACATAATTAAATAATAATCAGGAAAAAGGATAATTTTATAAGATTTTTATAAAATTATCCTTTCGATCTTTGCATTCGAAGAAAACCAAATAGAAAAAAAAGGAATAAAAAAGCTCTACCTTGAATTTGACAAAACGATATTACAATAATTAATAATAAATGTAAGTTAATGTTGAAAGTAAGATGAAAAAGTTCGCTTTCTTAGAATAGTTTTGAAGAAAACAAACAAAAAATAGGTAAACGTAGCTTACTGTGAATGTGATTACTTATTGTGCTACGCACAAATCCTAATTGTATGATTAGTGGTTGATATATATATATATATATATATATATAAAAAAGAAAAACATGAAACAGCATAATAATTAAATAAAAAACATACACGATAAACACAATGCTGCAAACGTAAAACTATGTAATATTATCAAATGAAATATTGTCTATATCGAAGATTAAAAAACGTCAAAAATGATGACAAAATAATGTTTGTATGTTGAATATGTAACTTTGGCTATAATATAGGTACACACATACATACATACATTACATACGTACATTAATACAAACATACATACAAAAAGTTAACAAGTTATATGTCGCTGTGATTGATAAATAGTATTAAAATTAGGCAGTGTTGTACTGTTAGATCATAATTAGGATTAAACCAAGTCGCATATGTCAATCGTCATTTAATGAATGTTGTATATGTAAACGGATCGTTGTATTCAACGAAATCAAACGCTAACAGACTATGTTAAACATTTTTTTGTTTTCGAATATTTTTTGTCTATTTTTGAATCACAAATAGATTATATTGCAATCTTGTTACTATCCCGCTCACTTATAACGCTGGTATTTTTTATTCTTGTCGTTTAATGCTATAGGAACCAACCAATTGATTTTTATAAATTAATATCGAGTTATTTTTTTTTTTATTTTTTATTTTTTTTTTATCAATGCTCTCATTTGAAATTAACGCATACATACGAAGAAAATAAACGAGAAAAAAAATACAAGTAAACCTGATAACGATGATGTATCTACGCTTTATACGTGATTTATCTCTGCTGGCAGAAAAGAAAAAAAAAAAACAAGAAAACCAAGAAAAAAAAAAAAAACAAATACTTTCTTTCACGAGTGTGTGAAGTAATTAAACTCGAAGTTGACTTCGCGGTAATTACC